TTTCATATACTCGTTCTATATTAGCTCCCCCAATTTTCAATTGAAGTTGTTTGTTGATGTTTCAACACATGCTGATTATGATCAATTCCACCATGAAGATGACTATAAACAATAATGTTCATACGGTTTACTCCCACTGGCTGCTACAGACAGATGCCCTGATTTTGTAACATTAAAAAGTAATTTCTTCTAAAACACCTTGAGCATGAAGAAGGAGAGGATGCTTTCTTCTTTTTTTCACTGTGTTCATCCCACATTGGGCTTAAAATATTAAGGTTGAGTTTTATTCTGGACTGAGGCAGGTGACCTTCATGCATGTATGTCCACTGAGAGACTGATATTCCACTTTCCACAGGATATTTCAGTACGAATGCCTGTATAGATGTATTTATATTTTTTGTTCATGCTTATCTCAGTGAAGGCAAATGTTAATGTTTTGGATGGGAGATCAAAAAGAAGAGATTTTACACATGCTGTGATAAAGCATTGTGTTCCTAGAGAAAGGATGGTGGATGAATCAGAGCAGTGGCCTAGTTACATCATTTCATCTTGATTAACCTTAAGATTACAAAGTTTCTACTTTAGGATTTATTCAAGTATAAGCTAGGAACAAAAAAGGGTCACAGAGAAAATAGACCTGACTATGTTGGCAGCAATTAAAAGCAATGGTATATTTGTACTACTACTAAGGTGGTAGTAGTAGGTGCTACTTGTGTTGTGTGTGCTGAGTTGGTTACCATATTTGTGTGTCATAGAGACACCGATGGATCCAGCCAGCTACCTCTCTAATTTTGTCTCTCTCTAGCAGCAACACGAGTGACAGCTGTTTACACCCTGCTCTTTGGCCTGTGTTGATCCCTCTCGCTCAGAAAAGCGCTGGATGTGTATGACTATGATAAGTGTTGATAGCGTGAGGGGGGAGCACTGCTGCTCCATCAGCCCCAGGCTGGGTTAATGTTTGTTGGCAGGGCTGGGTCAGGTGGCATGAACGGACAGTGCATGGTCCCTGTAGTCTTGACAGGGACCTGCCAAAGACTTGAGCTTATTCATTTCAGCAAGAGAACAATGGTGCTGAAGCACATTTCTATATTTATAATTCAAACCATTAGCTAACAGTCCACATCAGTGGTTTCAGATCATGGACTGTAGCTATTCTTCATCATTTCCCACAATTTTTAGATCATTACATACTGTATATATGTAGGTTATTATAAAATCATTCTTCATTTCTATTGATTTGTTTCTGTCCAGACAGTATAAAGGAACAAAGATATGTTTGCTCTTAGTGCTGCTTGCTAAAATGCATTGCATCTATCCTTGAGCTCCACCAAATATGCTGAATGCATTTCCTTCAGCAGTAATTTAAATCCTGCATCCTTTATAGCCATGTTTGCTGGCTTGTTGTCTTCTTTCTGCTAAGTTTTAAACATTAGCACCACCAACTCCGGGTGAAGAGGAGGTTGTGTGGCTCAGGTGTTTGAAGGCCACGATCTGCTAAACCCTGGACATAGGAACATAGCTTAACCTCTCACACTAAGGTGGCACATTGGAAACCAAACCAAATCAAAGCTTCAAACACTGCTTTATGTTTGTAGACAAAGATATCCACTCTTGACTACCTCCTTATACCTTCAGATGTTACCCTACTGTAAGTGGAATGTGGAATTTTGCTGAACAGGCATCCTTCATTGCATCCTGCCCTTGGTAGTGGTTCTATATCTTTTCATCCCTGCCTCCCGTCGGTGTCTTCCCAGCCTGCTTCTCTGTACTTTCTTGGTCTTCTGGAACTCGTTCTTCTGTGTTCCTCATTTTGCTGTTGCCTTTAATGGATTTTTGTGAGTTAGGCTGCCTTCTCTCTAATCAGACTTCCCCATTTTACCAACTGTCCACCATGATGATGACATAGCATTTTCTACTGTTATCATTCTTACATGTATTCATTTATAGATACGGCAATGAGGCCTTGCTCTTCCCAGGCATCCCACAGCATTTCTGCCTTTCTCCTTGCCTGTTGTCCTTGTCCTTCTCATTATATTAACTAATTAAAATGAAGGAATCTCATCAAAACTTCTAATTAATATACAAGAATCTCATTCAGTTACACAAAAAATGCCAGTACAGTTGATTTAACACAAACATTACTATATTACTCTGAATACAAAATAACTAACACTTGATCAAACATTGATTATCATTGACTAGTCAAATCTTTACTTTATGCATCAAGCCATTATATTTTAATTTCTGTCTTTCCAGTAAAATCAGTGGTTGTTCTTTCATTTATTTTTTCTCTCTTCTTATAGACACTCAGACATCTCTGCTTGCACTTCCTCTTTTGTAGGGATGTGTCTGCTGACTTCCCCCTTTGCCATACACCTACTTCCCCTTTTATAACAGCAGCTATACACACCTACACCAGTACATCACATTGGTAAAATCACATTAAGAAATCATACATTACTGCTGTCTACAGCTGTCACTGCTGTCCAGTTCCCTGCTCTCTTTGGCCCAGGTCCTATCTGTTGGCTGCACCGTCCTCCTAGATCGTATACTACATTTTTGTTTACTGTCTATAATTTTGTCATTCTGATTGTTGCTGTGTGCTCTATTCTGTACACAGAGCATCTGTTGCATGGCTATAAATTTAAATTTTAATTGGTAACTGTCACACTGAACATTTTATTGTACTATTTTGCTCATCAGCTTATTACCAAAGTTGCTAGAAGGTTTATTTTTTTTAAATATATAAAATTACTGACCTACAGTTTATTAGAAAATCAAACTCAGATTATGTGAATATTTTATGAATCTGGCTTGCATTTAAAAATTTGCTGTTTGGAAGCTGACTTGACAAATCTCATATAGGATAATCACCTTTATTTGGCCAAGCATGTTACACACAAGGAGTTTGTTTCCGGTACAGAACTGAGGCAGCCATCTGCGGCGCCAACTCACACCGATAGCTCTAACCATCAGGGGCAACTTGGGGGTTCATTGTGTTGCCCAAGGACACATCTGTTTCTATGAGATGATAACAAAACTATAGGTTACAAATAGTTCAGTGATTTCCTGCATGGTGACATTCAAAGTATTCTGAAGTGAATGAAAACCAGTGACTGCCAGGAGAGTGAAACATCTATATAAATCTGAGCTATGCTTTGAGAAATGCATACAATTTGTATTTAATAGATTAAAAATGCTAAATCGCCTTTAACTTTTTTCATGTACAGTGGTGTGAAAAAGTATTTGCCCCCTTACTGATTTCTTATCTTTTTGCATGTTTGTCACACTGTAATGTTTCAGATCATCAAACAAATTTAAATATTAGTCAACGATAACACAAGTAAACACATCATGCAGTTTTTAAATGAAGGTTTTTATTATTAAGGGAAAACAAAATCCAAAACTACAAAGCCCTGTGTGAATAAGTGTTTCCCCCCCCTGTCAAAACATAACTTAACTCTGATTGAGCTCTATCAGTTTGGAAAAGGTTATAAAGCCATTTCTAAAGCTTTGGGACTGCAGCGAACCACAGTGAGAGCCATTATCCACAAATGGCGAAAACATGGAACAGTGGAGAACCTTCCCAGGAGTGGCCGGCCGACCAAAATTACCCCAAGAGCGCAGCGACAACTCATCCAAGAGGTCACAAAAGACCCCACAACAACATCCAAAGAACTGCAGGCCTCACTTGCCTCAGTTAAGGTGAGTGTTCATGACTCCACCATAAGAAAGAGACTGGGCAAAAATGGTTTGCATGGCAGAGTTCCAAGACGAAAACCACTGCTGAGCAAAAAGAACATAAAGGCTCGTCTCAGTTTTGCCAGAAAACATCTTGATGATCCCCAAGACTTTTGGGATAATACTCTGTGGACAGACGAGACAAAAGTTGAACTTTTTGGAAGGTGTGTGTCCCATTATGTGTGGCGTATATGTAACACCGCATTTCAGAAAAAGAACATCATACAAACAGTAAAATATTGGTGGTGGTAGTGTGATGGTCTGGGGCTGTTTTGCTGCTTCAGGCCCTGGAAGACTTGCTGTGATAAATGGAACCCTGAATTCTGCTGTGTACCAAAATATCCTGAAGGAGAATGTCCGGCCATCCGTTTGTGACCTCAAGCTGAAGCGAACTTGGGTTCTGCAGCAGGACAATGATCCAAAGCACACCAGCAAGTCCACTTCTGAATGGCTGAAGAAAAACAAAATGAAGACTTTGGAGTGGCCTAGTCAAAGTCCTGACCTGAATCCAATTGAGATGCTGTGGCATGACCTTAAAAAGGCAGTTCATGCCCGAAAACCTTCCAATGTGGCTGACTTACAACAATTCTGCCAAGATGAGTGGGCCAAAATTCCTCCACAGCGCTGTGGCAGACTCATGGCAAGTTATCGAAAACGCTTGATTGCAGTTGTTGCTGCTAAGGGTGGCCCAACCAGTTATTCGGTTTAGGGGGCAAACACTTATTCACACAGGGTTTTGTAGTTTTGGATTTTGTTTTCCCTTAATAATAAAAACCTTCATTTAAAAACTGCATGATGTGTTTACTTGTGTTATCTTTGACTAATATTTAAATTTGTTTGATGATCTGAAACATTACAGTGTGACAAACATGCAAAAAGATAAGAAATCAGTAAGGGGGCAAATACTTTTTCACACCACTGTATTTAGCATCAGCTGAGAAAACTCTATCAAATAATGAAGAGCCATGAAATCATCTGTCTTCTCTGCATCGTTCTTCTGCCACAGTGAAGAATAAACATTGAAATGAATGGCATTTCTTCCATAATTGTGCATCACGTCCTCAACAGTGGAACCATAAATAAGCCAGACAACCCAGAAGACAAAATGTGATGTTAATGGTAGACCATGACTGGGTTGCTCATATTTTCAAAGCACAAACTGCCACAGCTAAATCTTATTGTAGTCACAAAGATACACAATATAAACAGTGTCAGACGCTTGAATTTCCTTTGTAACTGTTTTTTGAATGTTTCAACAGGTGCTGGGGAGTCTGGGAAGAGTACCATTGTAAAGCAGATGAAGTAAGTTTAAAAAGTGATCTTTTATCTTACTTTATTGTTAGCAGACTAATCATTATATTATATGTCATGAACTTTATGATGTTTCATGTTAAAATCCTGATGTGTTTAGGAAAGCCAGAAAATCAGTAGAGTTGAAGCAAGAACATACCTGATGATTCTCTGGTCCCTGCTAATGTCGCCATACTTTACTTATCTCCTCTTCTATCACTGGCTCAGGCACTCAGATACTAAACATGAGTCATTATGTCAGAATAAATAGCTTGATATAGTTTACAATAGTAACCACTTCCCTTTATGTGGTTTCTAGGGGACTTTATGGCCCATCCTGTTTGTTATCTAATGCTCAAAGCACAAGAATGTTGTGACACATTTCTGAATATATAGAGGATGCTGTAGTGTTTGTGCACTAATCAGACTACACACATGTTTGAATGACATTCATTTACATAATGCATTCCCTAGCCTCTTACCCTAACCTTGACCAACTCCACTGAATGCCTACCTAAACCTCTGAAGCCAAAATGTCCTTACTTTCCTAAGATGTCAGTCCCATTGTGTAAAACTCAAACTAGTCCTCACAATGTATAGCTATACAAGTACACACACAAACACAGGACTCTAAATGGCTTCATTATTCACATTCCTCCAGGCTAGCCAGACAC